ACGGTTTTGTAACTGCTTGCACCAAAGAAGTTAGCCGTTGACATCATGACGCTTTTATGCGTTCAGACGACCAGAGATATTTGACTGGATTAGGTTTTTATAATGAAAACAACTTTTCTGATCAGATTTGACCACACTCAGACTCTCCTCATGGTTCAAACGGGCACGTTCGTGGGAGGAAAGTGCACTTGTCCTTTGGCCACGTGTGAAAAGCTCGGCAGGGGAGCTTCCTCGCTCTCATGGTCTTCATTAAGTTGCGTTAAACCCCCAAAAGGCTCCTTAATGGGAATGCCCTTAAAACAAATAAATCAGGCGGGAAGCTCTGATGGCCAGCCTCAGGTTGAGACCGATGCGGTTTATCACAGCCACATCAGAGGAGTGATAAGTCTCTATCAGGCTGAATACAGTTGCACTTGTTTGAATGGGCCTCTGCTTTTGTTCAAACGAGAATATTTGTGAAATATAAAAGCGATTTGGACTCCTCTTTAGCTCCCTCAGGCCAAGTCAAATCAATATTTGTCACTGGTCGTGTGACAACGGGTTGAACCAGGCAGCAACAAGTGGCGTGTTTTTGTGGAGCTTCCACTTTGGTCCACACAGCAAGAAACACGCGTCACGTGATGCTTCTGCGAGCTCCCTCCCCTCTTTCCACAATCCTACCCACCCAGAAAGGTAGAGAGGGGAGATGAGGGGGAGGAGGACCACCCTCACTGGGATCACAGCCCTTCAATCAGACCCTTTCACACCCGGTGAACCTGAAACAATCAGAGTTTAATAGCAGCTGTCTGTCTGAGGCGACCCTGGCTAAAACCGCCCAGGACCCGCGGCAGCACCGGGCCGAAACGGTCGGCTTCGGAGAAAATGTTTCAGCCCCGGATGCACCGTTAGACACGCGCTCGCGTCTTTTCTGTCACCCGCTACGGTTTTCTTTGATCGCCGCTTTACTTCGAGGCACATGAAGCGGTTGTCTGTAAAATCTCCGATGACAGGAATTTGAAGGTCATCTTGGTTCATCAGATTAAGTCGCTGTTGTTTTCAAACTGCAGCATGGTTTCAGCTACTTTGTGTTTTCTCTGGGAGGCTGGTTTAGTTTGTGCTGAGGTAAACCTTTCTTTCCATCAGACCTCATGCTATAAAGGTGTGACAACTGTTGCATACAGTCTGATTACTCTAATGATTTCATAAGAACCCCTAATACTCTAAATGATGCTAAAATGAGGCAGATGATTGAAAGTGTGTGTGTGTGTTGGGGGTTGGGGGATAAATTGATACAACTTCTAGATTTTTCTAATGAGGCCCGGAAGTTAGAGTATGAAAAACATGGGCAGTTATTTTTGATGCCAGCCTTGTTGCATATGCACAAGTGGGAGTTTCGTTTTCAAAGTGCAACATTTGGGAAGGAAGATTTATACAGAACGATTATAAATAAACTGTGAGTAAAAATCTGCTGTGAAGTATTCACAGATGATTGTGTAATAATGACCAAAGCACATAAGCTGACGTTTGTCTTCTATAAAATTGGTGCCGGACATGAAGAAGGAGGTACAGATGAAATCAATTATTTTAAAGGGACGTGTCGTTTACCCTCCACATTTTGAGGTTGCTTCACTCAAAATGATGCAGTAAAACTGGTCCCTGTGTTTGTTACATCTAAACTGGAATATTTTTTAACCTTCATTATCAGAAAGTCCAACAAATCATCTTCTAACTAAAGACACAAACCTTAATCTGCTGCTATCTTTTCTCTCTCAAATCTCCATGTTTGTAATTATTGTTGCCAATTGGATTTTCTTTGCTTTTCTTCCCATAGAATCAACACATTGATCAATCCGTCTTTGTTTGTTGTTTTACGGTTCTGTCAAAACCCGGACAGTCGAGGCAGATGGCCGTCCAACCTGAGCCTGGTTCTGCCGGAGGGTTCTTCCTGCTGAAAGGAGTCATTTCTTTCCACTGTCACCATCAAGCTGTTCAAAACATTTTAACACAGTCTGCTGGTTTCCTTAGACAGAAATATTACTTTGATTTTATTACATGTTGTAAATATGTGACCTATCATATCGAAATGAGGATCTAATATGCAGAAATAGGCAGATAGTGTTTTGATTAAAACCTTTGCAAAAATTGCATTTTGTCAAAATATAATGAACCAAATGTGCCTTACCAATGTATGATTTGAATGAACTGTCTGAAATATAATCCTTAAAAAAACACCTTTGAAGCATTTTTTAAGCAGTAGCAACAAAAACACTGATTTTGAGGGAAAAATACCTTAAACCTTTGAGATTTTCCAATCAGCTAGCAAAGTTTTGGTTTCTTTCCATCTGAGAAATCTCAATATTCAAATACTATTTGAGGTTTCCTCTTTATGACATCAAAAATTCCTCATTGAAATTACATAAAATCAGGATTCAGACCAAATATTCATGTATCATTGTAACCAACAATATAAATTACATCAAATCTCTGGATCTGCTTATGATATCAGATTGATCCAGGCATCAAAATGTAGCTTTTGAAGCCATGAATCTGAAAATGTGATTAGATCATTTTGACTTGATCCTCATTTTGACATGATGGGTCACATACAGTATGTTGTACTATAATTACATTTAACATAATAAGTTGATTTAGAATGGCTTGAATAGATTTATTTTGTTGCATCCTGCCTTAAGCTTGGTGAGATAAGATGTTGTAAGAAAAAAAAGTTCACACAAGTAACGTGTTTAAAAAAGTGATATAAAGATAATGTAGAGTCTTTCCTTGTGTGCATCATGCTTTTCTCAGACTATTGCTGTTGATTCTGCAAAGCTAGTATCAGCACAGGGCTGGTACCTGCTGACACAGCAAGCCTTCAGCAGCAGTAGTAAAATCTGTTCTGCTTGGTCATGAGGGTTGTGCTCCTCAACATTCAGGGGATAAACAGATAAGCATCATGCAGGCAAGGATGAAAGTGTAAGTTACACAACGTGTTTGGATCAGCAGAAAAAAACTCCCATGTCCCAGTTAAAATCACCCATATCTGTTCTCCAAATACACAGAAAGGATTTTCCAGCTCATAGAAAATTCACGTTTCAGGAAAGAAAAATGCATGGAAGCTTTCATGACGGAGCCAGAGATTTTTCCCACGCATCATTTCTCTAAGCTGTCAAGATAAAGTCCACATTTTAAAACTCTGTTTAACCTTCTATAACTTGGCTTATTTTTGGTTTAGAAGCTGAGAGTTATGCTATAATGTTGAAGGCTAACTCATCTTGCAAAATCTCACATGAGATGGAGGGAATGGTCACTGGCTTCTTAACATACTATGATCTTTGTTTGGAACTCTGGCATGAAAAGATGCAGATATAAATTAAGTAGATACTTATTTTTACTAAACGGTGGACCGTGGCGGACCGAGATCAATGCACTGCTTTGGCATTTGCAACAGACTGGCCCGTGTTTCAAACCACAGCTCGACCCAAATGTTAACATGAAAGACTGGAGCTAGAACAGTTCTGAGTCGAGTACTGAAGCTCAACACAGAGAACCCTCTCACACCACAGACTGTGCATCAGCTACAGTTGCGAACAACTAAATCTGCCCCTAAGATAGATTACAGCATGATGCAGTCCATTAAAGGCATATTCAGCACAAATACAGAATCTCAGGCAGTTTGCACAATATTAACACACATTCTGTATTTGATAGTTGGATTATCAGCTTGCACCAAACATCTTTAGATTCAAATTGTTAACATAAGATCACAGGTATTTTGTTGGCACTGGCTCCCTCATTACCATTAATAAAGGACAATGAAAGACATCAAACTCGTGCCGGGTTGTAAAAGTGTCTTTGATTTTTAATTTAGTTCAATTTAATTCAACATCCATTCATTACAGACCAACTATTAAAGCCCTTTGGCCTTAGAGGCAGAGTGATGCTGATTGGAAATTCATCTCAGGTGTGAGCACTTTCATTGGTCGGCTTTTAAAAAGGGCTTGGTGTCACCAGACATCTGTTTGACTCCCTGCAGAAGGCATGCAGGTTGAAATGTGCTGGTGTTTTAGTGACACTGTGGACTATAGGCCCAGTAGAATAAAGGCATTTTAACCAATTGAAGGAATGACTTGGAGACTCTTAGTTGGAGTCTTTTAAATTCAGTAAAAGATTGAGAAAATACAAAAAACAAAGTATTCAGTAAAAATGTACCAGTTATGAGGACTAAATTGTTGTTTTTATGTCAGAATGAGCTGAAGTGTAGTTTGAATTCATGATGTTGGGTCAAGCCTTATAAATTACGCTTACCTAGCTCACATAAATGATTAGAGACGGATGAATTTAAAAGTTCCTTCAGACCTAAATTAATTTGTAAAACGTATCAAGGCTGTAGCCAGCTCCTTTATGGCTTCTTTGTGGTTCTGCCTTCCAGCAACAGCTCCTCGAGTGGCTCGGCTCCCCGTCTTTGGTAATCAGACCGAGGGAGTGAGAGACGCTCACAATGTGTTGAATTTTCGTTTTTCACCAAAGCAGGAAATGAGAATATATGAGCTCGTTTCAGTCTGCTGTCAGTTAAGACTTTGGCCTCTCATGTGGTGAGAGTCAGATGTCAATAGAGGGAGGGCATTGGCTGGCAATTCAGAAAAAGAAAGTATTCTTGTCAGATTATCAGTCAAATGAGGTTAAGATCCAGGTCACTTGCAAAGTCACTGTCAAGAAAAAGTAGGAAAATAAATTAAAAACTAGTAAAAGTGAATGGATGCTGCAACATCTCCTTAAAATTAGAAAGAAAACGTGTACTTTCTATTCAAGAAAATGCTAAAATATTTTTTTAAAAAGCTAAAACTGATTTAAAGTTATAAGATTAAAACCTAAATTAACAAAACCAAACATAACAAAGCAGTTGCATAAATTAGCCAAACAATTAAAAGCTATAAATTGAGTTTTTCGAACATTTAAAGTTCATTATTCACTTCAATGAACAGAAACAATAAAGTTTATATTTTTAAAGTATAAATGTTTCAAAAACCAAAGGTTGTTAGCTGTAATGTCCTGAATAGGCCTAATGTTTTGGTCAATAAATGGTTAAAATAGCTTAAAAGTATCCTGAAATAGTTACATCCTAAAATACGTCCTAATAAGTTCAACATGAAAAGAATAAATTGCGAATGCTGACTCAGCAATATAATTAAAGCTGGTGGACTGAAAAAATGAATATGCACTATATTTTTTCATTTTATATTTTATTACAATATTTTTTCAGTTCTAATATTTGACTTTGGAACACTGTAAATACAAGCAACATGTACAGTATGATTTGTTGCAAATCAATGAAATAACAAGCTGAACTGGAGCTTATTTTTCCTTCTGATCCAAAGCATGCATAAAAAAAATGTTAGCAGAATACTTGCTCTTTGCTCCCAAGCCTCAAGAACAGGCAACCAGGAAAACCCTCCTAATTTTCCTCACAAGAAGATATGCATGAGTCACATGTGTCAATGTAATAAACAAACAAACAGTGTCACAGCTGTTTAACAGGCTAACAGTAATAAAAAAGCAGTTGTGAGGCTCCAGAGAACAGCTGCACTTATGTCTTTATTTGATCTTTAACAATGTGCTCAAAGCAGCGACGTAAACATTTTCTTTTCATGTTTTTTTTTAGAAAAAGACAGAGGTCAGGCGTAACAGGAAAATACTTCAGAGCATTGTTTATAATACAAATAAACAATCATATTAATACACGTGTGATTATGAGGCACCACACGATAATAGAGTACTCTCTTCAATTATTTACACAAGAAAGAAAAAGCATCAGCCCTTCTGGCTAGAAAGATGTAAAGCTCGGCTGTATAAATCACTTCCACGTCTTTGTGTACACGATATTAATTTGTATTTGTGTTTTCATCGTCAAGTGAGCAGCGGCCGTTGAAAAACAAGCAGTAAAGTTGTTTGGCTTTTCACTGTGGCTGTAAGGGAGAGAGGGACTCTGACAAAACAGTCACACGATCAGAGGGAATACGGTTATTGGAAAAGGCTTTTGCGCACTGACTCACACACACACACATACACACACACACACACAAATACAAACAGTAACAGTCAGGGTAGGATGTAGTGAACCCTTCAGCTCGTCTCATCAGGACAAAGCTTCATATGTTGCCTTCTTGTTCTGGGTTTCGTGCACGCACACTGAGAAGCATCAGCAGTCTGCCTCCACAGAAACCTTGTTTTAAATCAGCTGGGTTAAAAAAAATGTGCAACGCCATCAACTCCAACTTCATCATGGACTGTGGACTAAAATAATCCACTGCAGTTTCCAGTTGAAATACTTTTAAGCTTCAAACTGAATACAGGATTACAGAAATGTTCTTTAGGATAAGTTTTTTTTTATCTTTTTTTTTTCTTTTTCTTTTTTGGTGAAACAGTTTTGCTACTTAACAGTAAGCAAGGAGCCCCTTTGTCCCATTGGTCCTCATGTTGAGAGAGACACAACAAAAATGCTAGATAAAAACTGGTAAAAAAGAGTTTAACCATTTTCAATAACATTTTTGTGGAGATTGTCAAGGCCTTTGCAGTTTTCTGAGTAAACCTTATCAGTGATGAAGTTCATCCAAGTGCAGCCGCTGTGGCAGGCGTGCATCACAGTAACTGTAAGGAGCCTCTTTATTTTATTTAAATGAAGAGGAGAAATCAGTGGATGGAGGAAATGAATCGAAGCCAACATCAGCGTCCAAAAGCAATCTGAAAAGCAGAACAACGTCAGCTTCCACTCTGGATATCATCAGTTTATTCCTTTTTCGTGGTTCTGTCCTTCAGTCTCTCCCTTCATTTTGTATGCAATCCCTGAAGGTCTGAGAGTGAAAGCACCAGAGGCCAGCAATCATCAAGCTACTTGGAGCATTTAATTTTATGTCCGCAGGTTAAACTGCCGTTTTACAACCGCGGCCACACAGGAGCCCTTCAAAAAGACCGTTTCCAGGTCTTACACAGGATCTTCTGGAAGGCTCTACGGAAGTCTTGGTTGAAGATGGTGTAGATGACTGGGTTCAGTGAGCTGTTGCAGTAGCCAATCCAGAAAAAGAACTTGAAAAGCGTTTCGGGGATCGTGCACGACTCGCGGCAGATTCCGTAAAGGCTGTAGGAGAAGAAGAAAGGGAACCAACACACCACGAACACGCCCATGACCACGGCGAGGACGAACGTGAAGCGCTTCTCCCGGGCAGCAGAGACTTTCTTCCGGTTGACCGTGCTCCTGCGCTTGCGACGAGATGAAAACAAATCTAAAGATTTTGAACTGGAGCGTGACTTCCGGCTCGAGTATTTGGAGGCAGTGCTGCTCTTCCGGCTGGACTTTCTGTCTTTCCTGTCCTCCTGATGATGCTTCGAGGAGCTCAGGCATTTTCTGGGTTTCTCGTCTGACGAGCTGCTGTCCTCAAAGTCGTCCTCGTGGTCGGCTGCTTGGTGTTTTGGCTCGCTGCGCTGAGAGGAGCTAGCTGCTTGCTCTTGGCAGTGGCCATTCTCACGCTCCTTTCCTTTCATGCTCCCGCCCTGAGCTGACTTTATGGACCCACCTTTGCCGTGTTCGGTTTGATCCATGCCATTTTCCATCGGTGAGTCCATGTCCCTTCTTTTCTCTGACAGCGTCCTGGTCCTGGTTTTTGCTACTTGATAGATTCTGATGTACACCAAGATCATTATGACGCAGGGAGCGAAGAACGAGCCGATGCTAGAGTAGAGAATGTACCAGGTCTCATCGTTCAGGATGCACTGGGGTTTCTCCTCACTGCTGCTCCTGTCCATTGATATCAGTGGAGGGAACGAGATTACGGCTGAGATCAACCAAACCACCACGATCATGCCTTTCACTCGTTTCGGTGTCCTCTTTAAGTTGTACTCTACCGCCTGTGTCACCGACCAGTACCTGTCCAGGCTAATGGCGCACAGGTGAACAATTGAAGAGGTGCAGAATAAAACATCCAGAGCCAGGTAGATGTCACACCAGATTTTGCCAAAGAACCAGTAGCCCATAAGTTCATTAGCCAGAGAAAAGGGCATGACCAGCGTGGCCACAAGGATGTCCGCACTGGCCAGCGAGACCAGAAAGAGGTTCTGAGGTGGTTTCAGAGCTCTGCTCGTCAGAACAGCAATAACAACCAAGACATTTCCGACTATTGTAAACAAAATCAGAAAGCTGACAAGTCCAGCCAGACCCCAGATGACGAGCTGGCTGTACTGGCTCTCTGAGGTGGAATTAGAGGTGTTTTTCGCCTCTGTCAGACCTTCCCAGGACGTATTAAGGAAATCCATTTTCACTTTAAATCAAATTATGAATTAAAAAAAAATCCGGGAGGGGGAAATGTGAAGAAAAATCTTCAGACTTGAGCACATAGTTCACCACAGAGACGCAAACAAACACCAAATGGTATTTTTCTTTCTCTCTTCCCCACCTGGAATCTTCCACATCTTGCGCGGAAGTCTCTCCTTTGGAATAATAATAATAATAATAATAAAGTCAAAAGAGTCCAATATTCAAGTCTTAAGTCCTTTTCATGAAACGGAGCGCAGGAGCCAAATTTCCATGACGGTAAAAAAAAAAAAAAGCGTCTCCGTCCTCAGCGCGTCCTCTCCCATCCCGACTGCGCCCGCATCTCTCCACCTCCGCCTCCCCGCTGGGTCCTGAGAGAGGTGTGTAACGACCACGTGTCTTTCTCTCTCGCTCGTTTTTTTTTTTTATTATTATTTATTTATCTTCTTAGAAACAAGCGGGGATCCGCTCCACCCCGGTGAAGAAAAATAAGGAACGAACATAAACAAAGAATGCGCAAACATTATTATAACTCAGTTAATAAGCATTGATTACCAAGTATCCTAAGATTTAATCAACATAATATGTGTGCGCTGTCTCTCTAAACTAAAAACCCGTTGTATTTTTTTTATTTTATTTTTAATTGATCCGGGTTTGAAGAGCGCATCCCGGTCGCGCAGAGCAGGAGCCGCAGGATGGATGTGAAAACGCAACCGGGTGAAGTCCCGCATGAAGACAGCGTGCTCTGCTCTGTCCTTCCCTGGCTCACACTGGAGGTCAGTGTTGTTACAATCAGCTCTGCAGGGACACGTGAAAGGAAATACGCACCAATAGGAGGCAGCTACGGAGCTTTAGATGTTTCAATATGGAAGATGTTTTAATTTACCCTGAGTGATGGCAATATAACATGACGTGAAACATAGAAACTAAAAAAATGATTTCACTTTTTGTTTATCTGTCTTCACTGGTGGACAGTCTGCAACACATTCATCAAAACAAGAGTTGCAAAATAAAAGACAAACTGTTCGTATGATGGTGCAAAGACTGCATGTCAGCAGAGTTTTAAACTAAAATCACCTCACGATGAGAAGGAAAGAGATTTCTTTAAACCTTTTAAAGCAAATTGTGCACAATCTCATGTAATATTGTGAGATCTGTTCAAATTAAATCCACAAGTTCAAAAGAGTCAGTGTGAAAAGTTTTAGTTATGCATTTTTGCACTCTGCTAACCCTGAACCCTGGAGGGTGTTTGCCTCTGGTGTAGTTACTGGATCAGTGTGATTACTGACTGTGACTCCAGATAAATATCTGTCATTAATCCCAGAGCACTCAGACTTTCTGAATTAAGCTATTTCTGTCAAAAAAAAAAACCATATTGATTCACATCAACTCTTAGAGAAAGAATAAAAAGTGCTGAGGGGTTCATAACAGTTGGATCACCTTTACTAACCTTCAGCACACACCTCATTTTATATCCTTTTTTAAAGGTAAAGGGACAGCCTAGTCATTTTTCAAGTGCTCTGTCAAATAGATCAATAGTTAGCGCCTTATTAGCCGTGAAAAGTACTAAAAAGCTGGTTAAAAGCTAAAAATAATGTAGGAAAACAAATACAGAGCAATATGACCTCAAAGAGAACAAAGGAATAAAACATAATATATTTAAGTGGATACATTTCATGTAAATAAAGTTAAAAGTTACACAAAACAAAAGTCATAGCACCCATCTCCTGAATGTTTTTCCTCTAAGGTAGGAGTGATGTTATGGATCCATGAGGATGCACTTTAAGCTGATTTAGAAAAAAAGCCAAGCATTTTTAATGTGGTCATTAAGTTATGTCCCAGAGCCACAGCCCCTATATAAACACTATATATAATTGGGCATCAGCGAGCAATCTCAGCTATTACTGAGCCCGGTGTTGTTGTTCAACACTAAGCTCTGAGTTTTTTCTGCTTCCAGCCAGCAGCTTGCCTTTGGGTGTTAATAAAGAAACCGATTACTTTTCATCTTTTCAAATCGAGACTTTTTCCCTCCACAAATTATTAACCTTTTTTGTGTTGTTTAGGATTTGAAATGTTTGCTCGTTGTGAAAGATCGAATCGTGCTTTTTCAGCTTTCTGCACTTGCATTTGAAGTGCAGCAAACGTGCACAAAATGTTCCATAGGGTGGGAAAAGAAACCAAATTCAAAACTTGGTAACACTTTACAATAAGGTACCCAAAATATGCTTAACTACTGAGAAACGACTTAGTACTAGTACTCAGGAACTACTAAGTTCTTAGAAATGACTTTGTAACTATTCAGTAACTGTCTACTTTGGTGTACGTAGTTCCTGAGTAGTTAAGCAGTTTTTGTGTACCTTACTGTAAAGTGTTAACCAAAACTTTAGTCACACGTTGTAAATGTTATTTTCTTATGTATTTTTTGTAAATCTCTTGACATGAAAGCACACAGAAAATATTTTAAAGAATTTTAGCTCCTACCTCATTTTTCCTTCAGTATCTGTAAAGTTGAGTGAGATTGATTTTAAAAGTGATTGATATTTTACTGAATGCTCACTGCTAACCTTTTGAGTTTCATGAGAATCCATTACATGGTTTGAGAGATTTTGCTAAAAGACAGAGGGTTGACTCCAACAGCTAATTTTAAAGTTTTAAAAGGGGGTATTGTGTTAAGATTGATCTTGGTTGAGTAGAACCCCAAGATGCAGGACTGAGTGAGGTGGCAAAAAGTAATTTATTAAAACAAAAAACAAAAGTGCTGACGTGGCAGCAAACAAGAACAATGGCTTTGGACATGAACATCAAACAGTTAACAAAGATCTGACAAACACTGAAGACACTGAACAGAATATAAAGGGAAAACTAATGAGCTAAAACAAGAAACACCTGGGGAAGATACATGAGGATCAGGTGTGAGTGGGCGGGGCTGGAGCAAAGGCAGACAGGAGGAAGACAACAGAGGAACATGACAGAAAAATCTGAATAAAGTTAAAATAAAACGAGAAACCAGACAAAACATAACATATTGTGAATTTTTTTCAGGCACATAGTTCAACTCTATATTACAAACATCTTTATCTTTATTTAAATTAGGTTAATCAACATGTCAGCAGTAAGCATCAATGTAAATATGCCAGAGTTAGCACAGCAGCTAATTTCCATCCAAGACAGGGAAGAACAAGAAACTAGAGGGATAACAAAAAAGACAAAGTAATCTATGAGTGCATCTCCARTTAGTTTTTGTTAAGTTAACTCATTGGTATAATAAAAAAACACACTTAGAAAACAAGAGGTTAATTCTGGCCTGGCTGAAATTGGCCTTTGTCACTTTAAGAACCTCCTACCATTTCTGCCACTTCCACGTCAGCAGGCCTTCTCAGCAATGCTTTTAGGGAGGGGTGCTCTGCTGCAGACTGAGCTCCAGGGAGGTGTTTTGTGTAAGTAGGTGGAGCTTTGTATCAGCAAGTGTTCTGGCAGCTCCACATGGCAACCACAGGAGATTCATGGATTTCTTAAAGATGCATGAATGAGTCAAAGCAACTCTGGGTGTGTTTTAGATGAAGGAATGACATTAAAATGTAACATAAAGCTCAAAGAGTAGATGCTGCAGAACCTCCCACCTACACAAAAAAAAACAGATCTCACACACTCAGTTACATTTAGAAAATACTTCAGTTTAGCTTTTGTGTGAAATTGGTTTGTAATAAACGCTATTTATTAAAAATACACAGACTGAAGCAAAAACACTATCACTTTAAGCAGCAGGGAACGATGTCTCAAAACTTTAAAGTGTCTGAAACAATCATTGAGCTTTAAACATTATGATGCCTCATAATTGCTTTAATATAGATAATAAATATGTCCACTAGCTTATAAAGTCCTTGTCACTTCCCTGTGTGCATAACTGCACAACACAATACTTTTAAGTCAGCAATGAGATAAAGGTTTATTCTATGAAGAAATAAAGGCTGTTAATTACAACAGCATGTGTAATTTTCTCACTTTACACACTGTGTGGTTGTGTCCATATGGGTTTTATTTGTAAAAGAAGCTACAGTAGCAGCTGACAGTGACAAATGGCAGTGTTACCTGGCCAGACAACAATCTGACTGGGAGCCAATAGTTCAGTGAAGTAACATTCAGCCCTGGGGAGTTTCTCTCACATGATAGAACCAATTGCATCTTATCTGTCTGTAACCTTTGCTTGACAAACTACCTTCTAGGAAAAAAAATGCTCAATCAATGGAGCTTTTCATTTGGAACGAATAGATTTTTAATTTCTGTAGACTAATTTTATTACAGTAAAAATGTTACATTTTTAAGTTTATTACACATACAGTAAATGAATCAATCATTCTGTGTTCATGCGCTGACAATTATTGCTGTTTGTGTAAAATTGAACACAAAATTTGATTTGTGCCAGTAAATTCAAACTATAAAACAGACCTATAGGAAATAAACAGTCACGCTTCAGGTTCTAGTGATAACTTTTTTTTGCATCTGCTTCTGATTCTGGCACAAACAATGCCATGGTTGCTACACTTAATAAGGCCGAGGCAGACCTTGATGTCACTGAAGCATTCGAGCATGGACAAACGCATTTTAAACAAACAGGAAAATATTTCTTGTCTTCTCTGCCTTGACTTTGAGGAATACAAATGTCTTTGGGTTTTCAAAAAACCAGTCCCAGACCAGTTCTTCTGTGTTTGTCTGTGTCTCTTTCCTGTCCCTCAACCAGCCGGTCGAGGCAGATGGCCACCTGTCCTGAGCCTGGTCCTGCTGGAGGTTTCTTCCTGATTAGCAGGGAGTTTTCCTCTCTGTTTGCTCAGGATGGGAGACTGTGATGAAGTGATTCAACGCAGCATGCTGGTTTCTTCTTTAAATTGTTCTTTTTATGTACAGTGCCCTGAGACAACGTATGTTGTGACTTGGTGCTACAACTTGGTGCTGTCCTTTTTAGCTACAGATTTGCTGTTTTAAGTTTACTGTTTTGCTGTTTTTAGCATCTGTTTTGATTATTTAAAGGGGCAATATCATATAAAAACTACATTTTTGAATTTTATATCATGTTATAATGTTATCCTCTGTTATCCTATATTTGAGAAATCCTGTAGTGTCCTGAGGCAGTCAGGGAGCAAAAATGACCGGTTGGGACTAGAACCACCTTTTGGAATCAGCTCCTCCTCTGGGCTGTGTCTCCAAGCCGAGCTTCATCATCACAGAGCACACATACACACACCCGGCCCCGTGCTGAAATGGGCGGGACAGAAACAGAAGAAGGTTCTTAAAGAAACAGAGGCCAATTTCAAGGTGTTTAGAAACAGATATGATGAGAAGTCAAGTTTATTTTCTATTTACAGATAAGCAGCATTTTAATAACAACTGAAGGTGACATAGCCTGAGAAACACATAATATTGCCCCTTTACATTTGAAAATTCTATTCATTTCTATCAGTTCAATTCGATTCAACTTTACTTTTTTAATCCCAAAGGCAACTTATAGGTTGTAACATTATCCTGGTTAATTTAAAGAGTTATTGTAGATACTGATGGCTGTGGACAGGAAGGCTTTCCTGTCCATCTTACAATACACAATAAATTCCAACCTACAAT